TTTAAGAGCACCTGTATGTGAGCCATTGCACAGTACTTTCCCTAAGTGGGCCCTGTGATCAGCTGAATCCTTAGTACTTGGTAGTTCTTTCACATAATTTGCACATGGATATATAATGATACTATATACACTATATTGCCAAAAGTATTGGGCCGCCTGCCTTTCCACGCACATGAAGTTTAATGGCCCCCCAGTCTTAGTCCGTAGGGTTCAATATTGAGTTGGCCCCGCCCTTTGCAGCTATAACAGCTTCAACTCTTCTGGGAAGGCTGTCCACAATGTTTAGGAGGGTGTCTATGGGAAGGTTGGACCATTCTTCCAGAAGTAATGTGAGGTCAGGCACTGATGTCGGGGGAGGAGGCCTGGCTCGCAGTCTCCACTCTAATTCATCCCAAAGGTGTTCTATGGGGTTGAGGTCAGGACTCTGTGCAGGACAGTCAAGTTCCTCCACCCCAAACTGCCTCCTCCATGTCTTTATGGACCTTGCTTTGTGCACTGGTGCACAGTCATGTTGGAACAGGAAGGGGCCATCCCCAAACTCTTCCCACAAAGTTGGGAGCATGAAATTGTCCAAAATGTCTTGGTATGCTAACGCCTTAAGAGTTCCCTTCACTGGAACTAGGGGGCCAAGCCCAACCCCTGAAAAACAACCTCCCACCATAATCCCCCCTCCACCAAACGTTACACTTGCGACAATGCAGTCAGGCAAGAACTGTTCTGGCAACCGCCAAACCCAGACACGTCCATCAGATTGCCAGATAGAGAAGCGTGATTGGTCACTCCAGAGAACACGTCTCCACTGCTCCGGAGTCCAGTGGCGGTGTGCTTTACACCACTGTATCCGACGCTTTGCATTGCACTTGGTGATGTAAGGCTTGGATGCAGCTGCTCGGCCATGAAAACCCATTCCAGGAAGCTCTCTTCGCACTGTTGTGCTAATCTGACGGCCACACCAAGTTTGGAGGTCTTTAGCTATTGACTCTGCAGACAGTTGGCAACTTCTGCACGCTGTGCGCTTCAGCATGTGCTGACCCCGCTCTGTCATGTGACGTGGCCTACCACTTGGTGGCTGAGTTGCTGTTGTTCCCAGTTGCTTCCACTTAGTTATAATCCCGCTAACAGTTGACCATGGAATATTTAGTAGCCAGGAAATGTCACGGATGGACCTATTGCACAGGTGGCTACCTATCACGGGACCACGCTTGGAGTCACTGAGCTCCTGAGAGCGACCCATTTTTTCAGAAATGTTTGTAAAAGTAGTCTGCATGCCTAGGGGCTTGATTTTATACACCTGTGGCCATGGAGGGGATTGGAACACCTGATTTGGAGGGCGGGCCCAATACTTTTGGCAATATAGTGTATATCCAGGTTTTAGAGCAGCATATGCTTAGACAAGAACAGGACGAAAAAATCAATGGCCCCAAACTCAAGCAACTGGCCACTCTGACTCTCTAAGATGCTCTTTATTATACCCATTCATTTTACGGACCTTTTGCCTAATAAACACATTAGTTACAAAATGTTCTTCCAGCTCTTCCTTGTTAGTACCACTTATTTTATCAGCTTTTTTGTTGCCCTGTCCCAACTTTTTTGAGACGTGTTTCTGCCATCAATTTCAAAATTACCTTATTTTTATAATTGCATTCTGTTGTTATGGAGATTTAATATAGCGTCCCAACTTTTTTTTTGGAAATTGGGGTTGTATACAAGATGTTCTCTGATTGGATGAGGCAGAGAGGAGGGGTGAATAAAAATCATGATCTCTGCCTCATCCAATCATAGTATGCCTTGTGTTTCTCTGACAGGCGGAGGTCCAAGTGAGCAACCGCCTGGGTTTTGTATTCAGACAGCAGCACCTGGAAGAGTCCAGCGCTGACTTTATTAGCCCAGGTTACTACAGTGACCTTCTGCATCCACAAAGGCCCTTCAGATATGAAGAACTAGATTTAACCAAGTTTAAAACTGGATATTTCCTGGAGTTTAGCTTTAACACACATACACAAAAACACACAGATCACAACTCATAAAAAAGGAAAAACTTTAATAAAATGTAACAAAGTTTACTATGCATTAGTAACATGCTTGCACAGCACTATAAGTGCACTTATAACTCCCATTAGAGTGACAGCAATATTGCTTATGTGTCCCATCAATTCCCCGGGATCTGATGTCACCCTGGGAACTGATAGGATGAACTTTCTATAAATATTGGTCCATCCTACAAAAAAAAAAAAAAAAAAAAAAAGCTTTGGTTCCTCTTTAGAAAATGTATGAGATTGTGTTACGTTTGAGAATGGTATCTTCATCCTTCAGTATTTCTCCCGTATTCCATTCTTGTAGATTCCGCACAGATACGGTGTCAGCAGCACTGACTTCTAGTGTCCTTCATTAGTATTAGTGTTGCATATTTCACATATATACAGTATACATTTTCCAGTTTCAGTAGTCTTCAGATGTACAAGGAACTCGGCATAGCTATATGGGAAGTGACCATTGCCGACTTGGCATGGAAGATGCAAGCTCTGCCACTGCCATCCTTATCCTTGCTCTATAAGTCACTGACAGAACAAACACATGTATGCTAGGTTGCCAAAACTTTACCGGCTATATGCTTGTTCCAGGTCAGTGACTAACTAGGTAGTGTAGAAAGGGTAAAGGCCTGTGTCTACAGACTTTGGGCTTGTGCTGATGAGCAATGCAAATTGTTCCAGGTGCATTCCACTTGCATTTTACATCAATTTGGGACCATACAGAATTCTTTGACAGGGTCATATAACCTGCAGATTACTTTTTTTTTTTTTAACCTTTGACCGCCGTCCTAAACTGCATTCCCATTGATGTCTATGGGGGAGCAACAATTTTGACATGAGTGAAAGCCAACTGATATAGACCTTAAAGTGGAGCTCCACCCAAAAGGGAAAATTCCGCTTTAATGACTGCTCCCCGTTAAGGATTGGCACCTTTGGGGAGCAGGGCGGGGGAAAAAGGCAACCGAAATTAACAGGTACATGCTCCCACTTCCGCTGCGATCGCCTAGGCCAGTGGTCTCCAAACAGTGGCACAAGGGCCGGAAGCAGCCCTTTGCAGGCCTTTAACCGGCCCTTGGGGCAGTAATCCTCCTACAGATGTGAGGCACTATTTCTCCCACTGACCCCAACAGTGGGGCATAATTCCTGCCATTGACACCAATGATGGGGCACTATTCCTCCCACTGACACCAATGATGGGGCACTATTCCTCCCACTAATACCAATGATGGAGCACTATTCCTCCCACTGACACCAATGATGGGGCACTATTCCTCCCACTAATACCAATGATGGAGCACTATTCCTCCCACTGATACCAACGATGGGGCACTATTCCTTCCACTGATACCAACGATGGGGCACTATTCCTCCCACTGATACCAATGATGGGACACTATTCCTTCCACTGACACCAATGACAAGGCACTATTCCTCCCACTAATACCAACTATAGGATACTATTCCTACCATGAATACCAATGATGGGGCATTATTCCTCCTACTAATACCAATGATGGGACACTATTCCTCCTACTAATACCAATGATGGGGCACTATTCCTACCAGTAATACCAATGATGGGGCACTATTCCTCCTACTAATACCAATGATGGGGCACTATTCCTACCAGTAATACCAATGATGGGGCACTATTCCTCCTACTAATACCAATGATGGGGCACTATTCCTCCCACTGACACCAATGATGGGGCACTATTCCTCCTACTAATACCAATGATGGGGCACTATTCCTACCAGTAATACCAATGATGGGACACTATTCCTCCTACTAATACCAATGATGGGGCACTATTCCTACCAGTAATACCAATGATGGGGCACTATTCCTCCTACTAATACCAATGATGGGGCACTATTCCTACCAGTAGTACCAATGATGGGGCACTATTCCTCCCACTGATACCAATGATGGGGCACTATTCCTCCCACTAATACCAATGATGGGGCACTATTCCTCCCAGTAATATCAATGATGGGACACTATTCCTCCCACTACTACCAACTATAAGATACTATTCCTCCTACTGATGCAATGATGGGGTACTATTTCTCCTCCTACTATGCAGGAGGCACTATGTAACTGACCACCAACCCTGAGGCAATGTTTATTCTCACTGATGCTGGGCCCGGGATATTTTCTACTCCCACTGGCCACAGTCCAGCCTCTCTAAAGTCTGAAGGACATAAACTGGCCCATTGTTTGAAACGTTTGGAGACACCTGGCCTAGGCAGTCAGAAGCGGAAGTTGTCCCCCCCCCTCCCTCCCTGTAGTCTTTTGGGACACGTGACAGGTCCCAGAAGACTACAGAACCATTCACAAAGTGCAACGCTACTCACGCATGTGCAGTGGGCACCCAGCTGTGGAGCCGAAAGCTGTCACAGCTGGGTGCCCACACTAAAGATGCCGACGCTGGGAGCACCAGACGGCCGGTGAAACGGGCTGCGGGGAGGACACCATGGGACCGAGGGACAGGTAAGTGGCTGTTTTTTAAAAGTCAACTACAGTTTTTATAGCTGCTGACTTTTATTTTTTTACAGTTTCACTGGAACTCCACTTTAAGGACAACAACCAGGGAGGTTTACAAAAAAACAAGTCACCAACAGCAGCTTCCATGCTTCTATCCTGACAAGTTTCCTTTTAAAAGGAGTTCCTACCTTATATTGACTTTTGTTTAGTCTCATCCTGCATATTTATTCTAAACATATTGCTTTTTTGGTTTAGATGCCATTTTTTAAATGCTGGGAGAAGCTAAAGCTTTCCACTGACCTGAGATAGCACTCAGCTCTCCATACAGGAATCTGTGTTGTGTATCAGGGTGACAACATGAGAGACATGGGTGAAGAGCAAAGGAGCAAGGTAGGCAGAAATGAGCAAAGATCACAGGTCTTGTCCCACCCAAATTAAAGCCTCCAGAGATCAGGTACATGCTTTATTAAGGTTTGTGACAATCAGGTGTCACTTGACGAGCTGACATCGGTGAGCCGGGTGCCTTCTAAAATTTCTTGCACATCCTTTATTGTAGTAGCCTGTCGGATTTTCTCCAGGCTGACCTGCAAAACACCAACACAAATGTGTCAATGAGGAAAAAAAAAAAAATATCAGAGCTGAGCAAAAAAATATATAGAAACTGAAATATTTAAAGCCCCTCCAATTTTATTTTTTTTTTTTTAATTTTGGATAGACCAAGGAAGAATTGGACCCTCTGTCGGATTTTATATTTCAAAAAGACATATCCAAGAAGCGCTGAGACTTTAAAAACATACATGGGTTCAATAAAATGGGAAAAAATAATTGTTTAACAAGCTCACTGGAGAGGCTGCTTCTGTGACGAAAGGTTCCCCTTTAGTGGATATGCCAGACGTAATGGTGAAAGGGTCCACGTAGTATTAATGATTTATCATCTGATCACATACGCAGCCCTATTTATGTCAAATAATAATTTTGTAATGAACAGTTATTATGGGTTGAACAAACTAGTGTCACGGAGGTTTTCTAAAGACAAAGTCAAGCAGGAGTGGTTTACTTTCAGACTCTCTCTCACTGACTGAATGTCTATTTGTTGCTGTACAGAGCTGGGGAAGGTGGGGGGGGGGGGGGGGGTGGGTGAGTCATGTGTGTAAATTAGAACTTCATCTATTGAGATCTACAAGTGGGCATTTTTTATTACCAGAAAAAGCAGCTAATGGTAGTCTGGCAAACAAGTGAAAAACCTACTGGAACTGGAAATATATTTATGCTATATGTTATATTTACAAAAATATTAATAAATACTTTTTTTTAGTCATGAACATACTGCAGAAAATTTACTATATAAAAAAAAGTATATGTTTCCAATAAACTAACCACAAAGGTTGAAATAAATGAGGTCAATAAAAGGTGGGGTCACCTGCAGTTTCTGGGATAGCCGCACAAAGTCCCTTTGCACTTCCTCGCTGGTGTTCAGTTCAGTCTGCAGTCTGGTGGTCTTGTTCTTCTCCTCGCTCATTGCTTGCTCAAGAGAAGCCTGGAGGCACATGTTACAGAGAGACCGTGAGGGACTATAAACAGGGTCTAGAACCTTCAGAGAAAATATTCTTTGTGATGATCCGTTTAATTGATCTTCCCCTACTGAGGTTTCAAGCATTAGAGAGGCTAGTCTTCCCATAGACCTAACACCTTCTATGTGTCTGCCTCTCCGGCAAAATCTGTGACAGAGCAGAGACAGGCTAAACAGCACCGTGACCTTATTTCACCATGGAAGTCCTCATACCTTCTCCTCCTTCTCCTTCTGAAGAAGTTTCTCCTGTTCACCCAGAGACTCCCACAGCTTCTGAACCTGGGTTTCTGACTCCTGCAACTGCAGCTCTGTCTGTAGAGAAAGGAGAATAGAACATCCATCAATGTTGTCTTCTTACTGCCTGGTGGAATCAGCTTTGATTGACCCGTCATGGATTACCACCAACTCAATGTACACTTAACAGCAGATCATAGGAAATCATGAGCTCCGCAACATCTCCAAAATACGTCGGTTCCTAACTCCAGAAACCACAAAGCAACTCATCCACTCCCTTATCATATCACGACTTGACTACTGCAACTCCCTCCTCGCCGGCCTACCCTACCCCAACACAGGCTATCCCCGCTTCAGTCTATCCTGAATTCTGAGGCCAGACTCATCCACCTCACCAACCGCTCCGTATCCGCCTCCCCCCTCTGCCAATCCCTCCACTGCTTCCAATTGCCCAACGCATAAAATTCAAAATACTAACATTGACGTATAAAGCTGTTCATAACACTGCCCCAAACTACCTCACCGACCTGATATCCATCTACCACCCAACACGCACTCTCCACTCCTCACAAGACCTCCTTCTCTCCAGTTCCCTGGTCTCCTCCTCCCATGCCCGTCTCCAGGACTTCTCCAGGGCTTCCCCATCCTCTGGAACTCGCTACCCCAATCCATCAGACTGTCACCTACCCTCCTCACATTTAGGCGCACCCTGTAAACACATCTCTTCAGAGAAGCCTACCCAGCCCTCACCTAATTGCTGATCTCCTCCGCTCTTCCCACCACTTCATCCCCCACAGCTATTTCCTCCTGTACCACTCTCCCCTCCCTCCTAGATTGTAAGCTCCAAGGAGCAGGGCCCTCGAACCCCTCGTGTATCGCATTGTATTGTTACTGTACTGTCTCCCACTATAATGTACAGCGCTGAGCAAACTATTGGCGCTATATAAATACTGTATAATAATAATGAGCTAGAGGTATATAGGGCTGTTTATTTAAAGCGAATTTGGGTTATTATCATCAATGCAGTGTATGGAAACCATGGCTCTATGTACTGGGGTCTGAGACTCAATAAGACAGTATAATCATAACGGTTACGGAGAGAAGGGGCTTCGTATCCCCTTGATGAAGTCACGTGACTAGTGACAAAATGCATCGGGAGGAGGGTACCGATGACGTAACAAAGTTCCCATTCATCGGGACAGCGGTTGTAGTATTTGTGAAACTAATTCAGGAACGGCCATTTATCAGGCAATTTCATTTAGAGAAGGGCCCGTGCTTTGCCCTGGCATTTCATTCCGTATGGTGATGGATTTCCGAGCTCATACAGGACTTTGCTGTTCAGATCATACTGCCATCTTGTGCTTAATCGATATATTGCCGGATGTTCATCATAGGTGGTGCACATATACACCTCCAGAACGTGAGTGCATTTCCTATGTTTTATTGCTTAATAAAAGTTTAAAAAGATAAAGCACTATGCTGAGTTCTTTTTAATGAGGAATACAGACGACACCAAGACGATTATAAGGAGGGAGCTTACTTTGGAGACCCCATTTAATAAGCTGATCTTCTGAGTCCATATGGGACCAAAAGTGCAGTTAGACTGTACCATTATATAATGTGTAGTCACACTGCGTGAGGTGAGCAGATATATGGTGGAGGATGTTTTCTCACTGGAATTTGTGACAGCTGCACATATTTTTGTTATCCACAGGAGGGTTTACAGAAGAACACTATTTTGATTGGACTTGAGTTCAGAATGACATTTTTGGGTTGAATCAATATTACTATTCTTGGTTTTGGTGATTTTTGATTTTTCACTTTTTTTGATTCACAGGCATTGAGTGTTTTTTTTTAAGTAGCGCAGCATATTTTTCTTCACTTTTATTCTCATTATTTGCCCCACTGAGACATGGGTTGTGTTCACTAGCAGCTACAGTATTTATATATATGTGTATTTTTTGCTTTTCATGCACCATAGTAAGCGCTTGAGTTATTTAATGTATAAGGGGCTAATAGGCTTGGGACCCGATGAGACAGTATAACCATACTGGTAATGAAGAGAAGGGATCTAAAATCTTGTGGCCCAACAAGACAATATAACTATACTGTTTATGGGTGAGAAGGGAATAAAAGGCTAGGCACCCAACAAGACAGTAGAACCATACTGGTTATGGTGAGATCAAACTAAAGAGCTTGGGACCCAACAGGACAACATAACCGTACTATTTAGAAGGGCTAAAGGGCTTGGGACCCAACAAGACAGTACAATCATACTGCTTATGGTGAGAAGAGACTAAATGGCTCAGGATCCAACAAGACAGCATAATTATACCAGTTATTGTGAGAAAAGAACAAAAAGGGCTTTGGACCCTACAAGACAATACAACCATACCGGATATGGAGGGAAGGGACTAATGGGCTTGGGACCCAAGAAGACATTATAATCATACTGGTTATGATGAAAAGGGATCTAAAAGCTTGTGGCCCATTGAGACAATATAACTATACTGTTTATGGGTGAGAAGGGAATAAAAGGCTCGGGACCCAACAAGACAGTATGACCATACTGGTTATGGTGAGATCAGACTAAAGAGCTTGGGACCCAACAAGACAATATAACCATTCTGTTTATGGAAAGAAGGGACTAAAGGGTTTGTGATCCAACAAGACAGTATATTTATACTACTTATGAAGGGAAGGGACAATTGGGCTTGGGACCCAACAAGACAGTAGAACCGTACTGGTTATGGTGAGATCAGACTAAAGAGCTTTGGACCCAACAAGACCATATAACCGTAACGTTTATGGTAAGATGGTACTAAAGAGCTTGGGACCCAACAAGACAGTACAATCATACCGGTTATGGTGAGAAGAGAATAAATGGCTCAGGACCCAACAAGACAGCATAATTATACCAGTTATTGTGAGAAAGGAACAAAAGGGCTTTGGACTCTATAAGACAGTACAACCATACTGGATATGGAGGGAAGGGACCAATGGGCTTGGGTCCCAAGAAGACATTATAATCATACTGGTTATGATGAAAAGGGATCTAAAATCTTGGGGCCCATTGAGACACTATAATTATACTATTTATGGGTGAGATGAGAATAAAACGGTTGGGACCCAACAAGACCGTATACCCAATCTAGTTATGGTGACATCAGACTAAAGAGCTTGGGACCCAACAAGACAATATAACCATTCTGTTTATGGCAAGAATGGACTAAAGAGTTTGGGACCCAACAAGACTATTTATACTTGTTAGGGAGCGAAGGAACAATTGGGCTCGGGACCCAACAAGACAGTAGAACCATACTGGTTATGGTGAGATTAGTCTAAAGAGCTTGGGACCCAACAAGACCATATAACCATAATGTTTATGGTATGAAGGCACTAAAGGGCTTGGGACCCAACAAGACAGTACAATCATACCGGTTATGGTGAGAAGAGACTAAATGGCTCAGGATCTAACAAGACAGCATAATCATACCAGTTATTGTGAAAAGGGAACAAAGGGCTTGGGACCCAACGAGACAGTAGAACCATACCGGTTATGGTGAGAAGAGACTAAAGGAATCAAAAAGATCTACAGCTGACTAAATGCATAGAACTGTAAAGAGTTCTTAGAACAAAGTATTCAATTATTCACATCTCATTCCATCATATATCGCTGGGTTTGAGGGATTTTTGATTCCCTTCTTTCCTCCTGTCTCACCATAACCTGCATGGTTATACTGTTTCAGTACAAAGAAAAAAATGGGATGAAATACAGAAACAGGAAGAGCCGGCATAATCCGAAATCCTTATGAAAACTTTATTGAAGATACAAGAATGGCATAAAAGTGCTCTGATGCGTTTCGGCAAACAGCCTTGATCACAGCATAGTGCACTTCACTGGGTGAAAAATCAAGAACTCAAAGAGGAACATTTCATGTCACCTCACTAAAGCGCCATCTTTCTTCCCAGAGTAATAGCTCTGCCTACCACACCTAACTCCCACAACCTAACCTCCCACAGTTAATAAAAGCCACATAAGCCTTGGGAGAGGTGAAAACATGCCAAATTATTCCACAATTCTTATCTCTGGAAGAACCAGCCATAGCATCTACTTCCACGACCTGCTCCTACACAGCATTATATCCACTGCTAAATCACAGGAGTGTTTTTAGTACACAGCAGAATCACAAGTAGAAAGAAGACCGGATTGGTCACAATGAGAACTGATGGTGAAGAATGACAATGAAGGAAATCACAGAAACAAAACCACTTTTCCATTTCCCATCTCACCTGTTTCCTGTCCTGCTGGATCCGGTCCATCTCCGTCCTCAGGCTGGAGAGTGTCGCTGAGCAAAACAAAAGAGAGAGACGTCATACACACAACACGAGACAGACGATTTTATACAACTCGTATTCACTGTATTTTCTGGATGGATTTATTCATTATTGAGCAAGAACACAGTTTAGTTTTTAAATTATTAATTCTCAGGGAAAATGTGAAGCTAAATTTGAAGCAGACCGTTAAATGCACAGAATAAAACACACATAGGGAGTTTTACTTACCAGTTTTGTATTTCTGTTCACCCAGTCCTAAGATTTACACAGCTCTGCCACACAGCATAGCCCTGTCTGGCAGAACAGGAGGCTTGATTTTTCACTGCTGCAATTGAAGAGGAATTTAAGTCCTCTTTAACTTTGTCCCGCCCTCCCCCTCCAGGGCTAACTTTGTCACTTTGGTGGCCACGCAGATATGCTGAAGGGCTCTGCCCGGCCTTTGGGTTCCTCTGCAGAGCACAGCAGCACATCTGTGCATGCGTAGGGGAATTTCCACAAATGCGCAGGAAGAGCTTTATTCAGAAATTGAATACCTGCATGCCTTCATGCAGGAACAGGAATGCCCCACACACACTGATATGCCACAGGGCTAAACCTGGACCCGAAGCCCTGCAGCACATCTGCACATGCACAGAACTGGCAGGGAGGGATGGTAGCAAAACTCAAGAAACACAGAGATTCTGCATGGCAGCACAACAATCTATTGAGGTAAAAAAACACACAACAACAATATGCAAATATGAGGGAGGGGAGTGGGGGTTGGGAAGAAGGCAGGGGAATTTTAAGTAACACTTTTAGGTCATGTCCCTCAGCCTGAACTGACTGAACAGTGAAAAGAGAAGCAGGGGAGTGATGAGATCAGTCCACTATCACTCTGTTCTTTCCCACTATCAGCATGTTCCTTGTAAGCACATGGGCACTGCAGCACAACAACTGATTGACTCTTATAATGCTTCTCCCTTCCCTAGTCTGAGCTCGGCTGTACAGGGGATTTGAAGAGGATGATACCAAGTCAAATGCAGGTTAATACACCGCTTGCATTAAAAAAAAAAATAGTTTAAAGATTTATTAATAAATACAGGGCTGCTGTCATTTTTGTCTTTAATAATTGCCCTGAGTTCAGCTTTACCAAGAAATTGATTTTCCTGATCCAGTTTTGCCCTCATTCTCGATATATCACCCCCCCCCCCTCCCCCATGACCATTTTATGCATAACTCCAGGGCAGTGGGTGTGTTTATGTCTATACTAGGTTAAGGTTTAAAATTAAAGGGTCAGTTCACTTTTCAAAAAAAAAAAAAAGAAGAAAAGTGAACCATACACGGTCCTCCCCCACAACCCAGTTCCTGCTGTATTTACCTCTGTGGGGGCTAAGCTGTCAGTGCCCATGCAGCAGTCTGGGGATTTGAAATCGCTGCTCTTCTCCCTTTTCTCTCTGCAGGGATTCCAGTACGGTAAGAGTAATTCTCTGTGCCAGTGCTGACCAATCAGAATTGCTCTGATCCGTCCTTGAAGTACTGCACAGAGACCAGAGAGAAAAGAGTTACACCAGCTGCGTGGGCACTGACAGCTCATCACCCATAGAGGTAAGTACAGCAGGGAGTGTGGGGTGGGGGGTTGGAGAGGGTGTATGGTGTTAATTCACTTTTCATTTTTTCTGAACTAAAAAGGTACAAACACTTACCTTAGTTTCAATGGACGGATACCCAAGAGGTCCCTCACCATCATGTCCTCTGTCTTCTTCCAGGCGCCAGTCCTCAGCCATCTTGACTGGATATACAGGAGTGGAGTCACCCCAGCACACAGGTAGTGTATCAGAATATAAACTGAGCTGTGCATGTGCAGCTCACACTACATTTACAGGGGGTTGCAAACAGGCAGGTCAGTGTATTTTATAGTTAATCTGGTTGACAAAACCTGACTCTTCTGCAACAAAGAGTCTGCCTGTTCACATTTTTTTTTCAGCTTTAGTTCTGCCCTAGCTTATTCCATGAGAAAAACAGCAGCCAATCAGAATTCAGCATTCATTGTTTTAAGAAAAATCTGATTGGTCATTAAGGGTAACTACAGTCTGGAAATCGCTGTTGCCCTTTAATAAACCTATAAAGGCTTCTGGTGGATCCTGATGAAGCAGTGTTAACGAAACGCGTCGATCCTATATGCCCTCTTACATTATATATACTATATTTATCAATCCTCCGGTGTGCAGCTGACCCTTCTTCCTGTTTCTCTCTTACATTACGCCTGGACAGAAGCAGACAAAGTTTTCTATATTGCAAAATGTCTTTTACCGGTCTATTGATACACTGTATATGGCTCCACTTATGATGTTTTTATACAGATTTTTGTATTGTCTTTTTAAATCTTTGTAATAATCTGTTATATAATCTTTTATATTGGTTATGTTTCCCATTCTGGCACATTTAAAGTCCCTTTTTTCGTATTCCTATCTCCCCCGTGGTGGGGAGAGGAAATAATATATTTTTTATATCTAAATTTAAAGTGGTTGAAGGTTTCCTTACCTTCATGCATTCTATGCATGAAGGTAAAAAACCTTCTGTGTGCAGCGCCCCCCCCCAGGCCCTTTAATACTCACCTAAGCCCCCTCTTGATCCAGTGATGTGCACTGGAGTTTCAGCAAACCTGGGACTCCCTCTTCTTATTGGCTGAGACAGAAGTGGGAGCCATTGACTCCCACTCCCGTCAATTACAGCCAGTGAGCCAATGAGAAGGGGGGGGGCTAAGCTGTGGCTCCGTGTGTGAATGGACACATGGAGCAGAGGGTGCTGCATGCTGTGGGGGCACCCGACAGGAGGGAGGGGCCAGGAGCAACAGCAGGGGACCCAAGAAGCGGAGGATCCAGGCTGCTCTGCGCAAAACCACTGCACACAGCACGAAAGTACAGACATGTTTGTGATTTTTTTCTTTAAAAAAAAATAAGCCTTTAGAATCACTTTAAATGTACAATTTTGCAGCATATTCTCTATCATTAGATCCCATCCCATGTCCTGTATCACATACCTTCCACAATCTCTGCAATCCCAATGAGAGTGTAGATGACCGAGGAGGAGAGGAGAGAAAGAAAAAGGTTAATAAGATGTCCTAAACACAATGGCTTTCTGGTCTTATTATTAATACTGTATATACATTGATAAGAAATACATGAAAAGCCATCTCATCTACATTATAAAATACAGAAGAGACTATGTGCTGTATGAATAAAAGACATTTAAAATACATCTCATTTGTAAATGAATTAAAAAAATCTATTCCAGTATGTATTTTTAACTTAAAAAAAATCCCTTCTATTGTGCTCAGCCTCCTGTAAATTCTTTTTTTTTTGTGACCTGACTTCCTGTTAGAGGGTGGCTACATTCATTCTCCATGGTCCCACTGTATGTAGGAACGTAGCCACCCTTTCTTGCTCGCTCCTGAGATGGACTATGGGATGTGTAGTGTACACGACTATGGGATGTGTAGTGTACATAAAGTGGTGCACATGACCGCAACTAACATTCACTCTTCATTCTCAACAAATGGAAGTGGGGGGGAAGGAGAGGTTTGGTGGCTCATAGAGAAATAGTAAGAAAGAGTTTCATGAAAAATAGATTACAGGGTTGTTACGTAGTGGATGTGTATAGGTTATTTTTGCAGAAGAAGGATATAATTTAGAGGCACTTCAAATCTTGATTGGATATATAGCCATTTATAAGAGTGAGGTTTGCTCATCCAGAACTCCATCTCATTGTGTCACAGTACCAGATTTCAACAGCAGGTGGCGCAACAGGCAAACGCTAAAACCTCTGATTCAGCGCACAGAGCATCATAAAAAGGAATGCTAATCAACCTGGATATTTTGCTTTATCGGCTTAAAGGAAGCTGCTATGGCCAGTGACAACGGCATACAGCTACTAGGGCAAAGATGACAAACTGCGCCCCGCCCCCCCCCCCCCCCCCCCCTTTATGATGTGCAAGCTACGCTTAGCAATCAATAGCTTGTCAAAATCACTGCCACTGTCACTGCTGTCAGCCTTGTAACAGAAGGAAAGCTTTCCCATCCCTACAGTAAGCCATTGTGCCCAGGGCAGCCGCCCTTCCCGCCCACCCCTTGTCCTGGCCCTGGCTAAGCTCTTTCATCTGAAAATGCTAGTTGCTTGGCTGTCTCTGGCTTCAATGCTTTCTAAATAATTGGCCCAGAATAAACCTAAAGATCAGGAGTTTCAACTTCATTTGCTAGATGCTTGTTCCAGATCAGTGACTCAGACAACTGACAAGCATTTCCAGAAAGAGGTCAGCAATGGCAGGCTAGTCGTCTCAAAGGTTTTCTTTAACAGCCAGGATACATGTATCGTCCTCTCTCACCCCTGTCCTCAGTCTGCGTCTCCTCCAGTCTCCTCATCTGCTCCTCCAGGTCCTTCTTGGCCTCTTGTTCGGCTTTTAGCTCTTCCTGCAGACTGACAATCTCAATACATAGGCGCTCCTGCCTGTGCTGCTCTGTTCTCTGGAAAGGACACAGTATGGTTAGAATTCCTGCCAAGCATTCATATTGATACACGTACAGCGTCAGTTCCTGCAGGGACCATATTGATATACATAGCAAATTTGAACAGTAACACTTTCTGTCCACCATCTATGCCAAGGGACTGCACCCCCAGGGCCTGCGTGCCTGGGTGAGCATGCAGTGCCATTTTCACTGTGACTCCGCTGTGACTGACAGATCAGTAGGTTGTCATTGTGAGGAAGAAGCTGACCGTTACATCTACACTATTCTTCTTCTTGTTTGTACCCAACAGCAAGTATGTAAAACCCCTGCATATGTGAAGGTACAGAGGTCGTACTCTGGGCTGATCTGGAGTCTGCTCCTCAGATCAGTCCCAAAAAATTCCCATTCAGAGGCGCAATATTTTGGGTAGGTCTGGGGTCCAAAAGTTCAGGAATTGGGGTGACCTGAGGTGTGAAGGTGCAGAATTGGGGTGATCTGAGGTGAGAAAGTGCAGGAATTAGGGTGATCTAATGTCTTAAGGCAGGGGTGACAAACAGGGTGCCCTCCAGGTGTTGAGGAACTGCAAGTCCCATGAGGCATTGCAAGGCTGAGTTACAAACATGACTCCCACAGGGAGAGGCATGATAGGACTTATAGTTCCGCAACAGCAGGAGGGCCGCCAGTTTGATACCCCTATCTTAAGGTGTCGAAATTGGGGTGATCTGAGGTGTGAAGGTGCAGGAATTGGGCTGATTTGAGAAGTGAAGGTGCAGGAATTGGGCTGATCTGAGATGTGAAGGTGCAGGAATTGGGCTGATTTGAGATGTGAAGGTGCAGGAATTGGGCTGATTTGAGATGTCAAGGTGCAGGAATTGGGGTGAGAGGTGTGAAGGAGCAGGAATTGAGCTGATCTGAGATATGAAGGTGCAGGAATTGGGCTGATGTGAGATATGAAGGTGCAGGAATTGGGCTGATGTGAGATATGAAGGTGCAGGAGATCTAATGTCTTAAGGCAGGGGTGACAAACAGGGTGCCCTCCAGGTGTTGAGGAACTGCAAGTCCCATGAGGCATTGCAAGGCTGAGTTACAAACATGACTCCCACAGGGAGAGGCATGATAGGACTTATAGTTCCGCAACAGCAGGAGGGCCGCCAGTTTGATACCCCTATCTTAAGGTGTCGAAATTGGAGTGATCTGAGGTGTGAAGGTGCAGGAATTGGGCTGATTTGAGAAGTGAAGGTGCAGGAATTGGGCTGATCTGAGATGTGAAGGTGCAGGAATTGGGCTGATTTGAGATGTGAAGGTGCAGGAATTGGGCTGATTTGAGATGTCAAGGTGCAGGAATTGGGGTGAGAGGTGTGAAGGAGCAGGAATTGAGCTGATCTGAGATATGAAGGTGCAGGAATTGGGCTGATGTGAGATATGAAGGTGCAGGAATTGGGCTGATGTGAGATATGAAGGTGCAGGAATTGGGCTGATGTGAGATATGAAGGTGCAGGAATTGGGCTGATCTGAGATATGAAGGTGCAGGAATTGGGCTGATCTGAGATATGAAGGTGCAGGAGTTGGGCTGATCTGAGATATGAAGGTGCAGGAATTGGGCTGATCTGAGATATGAAGGTGCAGGAATTGGGCTGATCTGAGATATGAAGGTGCAGGAATTGGGCTGATATGAGGTGTGAAGGAGCGGGAATTGGGCTGATCTGAGATATGAAGGTGCAGGAATTGGGCTGATCTGAGATATGAAGGTGCAGAAATTGGGGTGATCTGAGATATGAAGGTGAAGGAATTGGGGTGATCTGAGGTATGAAGATGCAGGAATTGTGGCGACCTGATGTGTGAAGATGCAGGAACTGGGGTGATCTGGATTGGCAAGTGTAACCTCCTGTTAACACTAACTACTTTTTATTAACCCCCATCATCACTTTCTTTCTTTCACCGAGCACAATTTGGCATCTTTACCGTTGGTGCTCTCCGGGACCTAGTTTCGGGACTGGAGCCTGGAGAAAGGGGCATCCATTGGAGAAATTCCTCCCTACATTTCCCCCCCCCCCCCCCCCCCCCCCCCTTGCAGTGCACAGACTATTTGCCTTTAGTAAATCAACCCCAACGTGTAAAAAAAAAAAAAAAAAAACCAGTCAATACAAATGGAAATTCAAATCACTAAAAACGATCAATGTAAAGCAGTGCAATCAAGATGAACTGATCAATAAACAACAAGAAACGTAAATAAAAACACCAAATTCATATTTACTTATGATCCACGTAAACTTATCTGTGAAAAAAGTAGCAAATGTGCACAACCAATCAATAAAAAATGCTAAACACCAATTAAAACCAAGTTCATATAAGTTTGTGCGCAACTAATTAATATAAAACGATAGACATCAATATAAATCATATAAGAACTGCCACTGTAGACATTTCACTATGAGGTCTATGAGCATACCTGCTGAGAAGACAGTTGCACACCCTGTCCAACAGGGACCACCTCCGAGCTTAGCGATCTCAGCTTCTCATTCTCGTCATTGAGAGAATTCACTTCCTGGCACAAGCGACTAAAGGAGGCTGTCAGAGCTGCCTGAGCGGGGACAACAGGTAAAAGGTTAAAAAATAAATGACTGAGTTACAAAGAGGGATCAAGATAGAGAGAGGGAACAGGATAGCAAGGGTCGAGATAGAGAGACAGATCAAGACCATGAAAGAGATTAAGGTAGAGAGAGGGATCAAGCAAGAGAGAGATGGATCAAGATAGCAAGAGGGCTCAAGACAGAGCAAGAGAGGGATCAACATAGTAAGAGGGATCAAGAGAGAAATATCAGGGTCACGGAAGGATCAGGACGGGCGTGAGGCACCAGGACGGGCGTGAGGCATCCGGAAGGGAGTGAGGGATCCGGAAGGGAGTGAGGGATCCGGAAGGGAGTGAGGGATCCGGAAGGGAGTGAGGGATCCGGAAGGGAGTGAGGGATCCGGAAGGGCGTGAGGGATCAGGAAGGGCGTGAGGGATCAGGAAGGGCGTGAGGGAGCAGGAAGGGTGTGAGGGAGCAGGAAGGGCGTGAGGGAGCAGGACGACATGAGACAGAGATGGTTATTCCACATTACTACAATCTGAAAGAAATGATGCCTGCTGGGGACACAGTATCACAATCTGGGTTCTGGCTTCTATGTAATTTTTCTGTGACATCTAACAACCAGGTGAGCAGCATTTTCAGAATTCTGCACATCTCCCGCAACGGGTTTCCTTTTCTTGAGGTTTCTAGATGCTTCTCACCATTTTCCTTGCAGTCTTCTGCTGGGTGTCGGACAGGTTCCTCTGAAGGCTCAGCAAAATCTCTTCGGAACTCTTTATCTGATCCAGCAGCTGCTTCACCTGTGTGAGAAAGAGAAGCATTACTATATAAGTGCTGCTAGTCATCACCATATAACACAAGGGTGCGCAGTTGGGAGTCAAGGTTCCAAATTAGATTTCATGCTTAGGGAATGAAGAGCTATTTAGACCCCTAGTGGGGACCTTTGTTCTTAGACTTTCAAACCCATTGCACGTGGATAGCTGTGGTCCTAGAAAATGACACAGTGTTACCTAAACAGAAGTCCTTTGATTAACATCATAACCTATTGATCACTAAAATGAAAATCTAGAGGTATTTGGTGCAATACTTTTAATGTAAAGCTGTCCCCCGCAGTACTTCCTCCCTTCCAGCAGATGTCCTCAGTCTTACAGGTTGAATGACGGTCAACGTCAGTAAATCCCTTCTTCTGAGTCCAGACTGTCATGGACGTGCCCTCTGGGGAGGTATCATCACACAGCCGGGGCTCAGAGTATTACTGATCTGACATTGCATGTGTGCCATTTAGTCCAAGAGTAATGAGCGCACACTGCTGTCGGAGGTGAAGAGGAAGGGCCCGTGACATCACTGTACTAGTCAGCAGACCCTTATAAAAACGCCTTTATTCTATTTGAAAGGAAAATAATGTGTGGTTGGTGAACAAAAGGTGAGGGATTTGCAAACTCATACATAATGTAAACTGTTTTATCTGATAAAAAAAAAATATTCAGCCAATCTTGTGATTTGGACACTGTTACAGACAGGCAGGTTTGTGACCTTATTTTTCTCCATTGCAGCTAAGCAATAGAGCTTGGTCACTGATCTACCGCAAGTCTGATCAACAGACAGTGAAGGGGAGTCACCACACTGAAGAGGTTATCACTCTGCTCTCTCCTGCAATCAGTACGATGCCAACGTTACATGGACAGTACTGGAAAATGCAGTATAGTCTATTCGGCTTACAACTCTGACTGTTCCTCAGTGAGTACTGTAGCACAGGTAATAATGATTACTAAAACAAAGAATAATTCAGATACTGTAATTATTAAATGTAAATTTACATTTGTAAAAAAAAAAAAAAAGAGCTTAGAACAAACAAGGACTGATACAACCTCTGGAACTAGATATGACTTACCTGGTTAGCGCAGTCCTCTGAGCTGCAGCGTAGCGCCTCCTGCAGGGTCTCCTTCTCCTGCGTCACCCTGTCTAGGCGCTCAGTGGTACTTTTCAGGGCCCCCCTCTGCTGCGCAAGCTGGGAGCACAAAGAACACAAAGCAGATGACATTTTTACAAACAGCAGCATGAAGCATTAAAAACAATTTAATTTATATGGAAAGTTTTATAATCAAGAAACCCAGATCCCAAAAAGGGACAAACCATTTCTGCTCATGGATTATTACCCATAGACACAGAGGTGATTGCTGGGCGTTTTACCGCGAAGTGTGGAGACGTTCTCGCTTTCAGTAGATCGTGTATGGAGTCCGTGATGGATACAAATAAACTTTCAAACAGATTTTGGGTGTGTATAATTTTAGGGGGTACCGGAGCTCAGGAACAGTCTTCGGGATGTACGTTTCTCATAAAAAGGTTGAGGACCCCAGCTTTAAATCTGAACTTTTTGGTCTTATTATTTCCTTTCCCTATTACAAATCAGCATGTTCTTACCTTATAAACATACGTGAAAGATGGGAGAAATTCAGCTATTCAGTGAGGAAGGATTGATGGAACGCTAACGTCACTTCCTTTTACTTGTCATCACCACTGTATCCTACTACATTTCCCATCATGCACTAAGAATTAGTGCATTCAATGCGCATGAATGTGGGTGGGTTAGTGACCAAGCAGAAATGAATAGACAGGGAGTGTGACAGACCAGGAGTCTGCGGACCTGTCAGTCAAGGTATGATGTCATAATGAGCGGGACAGACCAGGAGTCTGCGGACCTGTCAGTCAAGGTATGATGTCATTATGAGCGGGACAGACCAGGAGTCTGCGGACCTGTCCGTCAAAGTATGATGTCATTATGGGCGGGACAGACCAGGAGTCTGTGGACCTGTCCGTCAAGGTATGATGTCATTATGAGCGGTACAGACCAGGAGTCTGCGGACCTGTCAGTCAAAGTATGATGTCATTATGAGCGGGACAGACCAGGAGTCTGCGGACCTGTCAGTCAAAGTATGATGTCATTATGAGCGGGACAGACCAGGAGTCTGCGGACCTGTCAGTCAAGGTATGATGTCATTATGAGCGGGACAGACCAGGAGTCTGCGGACCTGTCAGTCAAGGTATGATGTCATTATGAGCGGGACAGACCAGGAGCCTGAGGACCTGTCCGTCAAGGTATGATGTCATTAGGGGTGGGACAGACCAGGAGTCTGCGGACCTGTCCGTCAAAGTATGATGTCATTATGGGCGGGACAGACCAGGAGTCTGTGGACCTGTCCGTCAAGGTATGATGTCATTATGAGCGGGACAGACCAGGAGTCTGCGGACCTGTCAGTCAAGGTATGATGTCAATATGAGCGGGACAGACCAGGAGTCTGCGGACCTGTCAGTCAAGGTATGATGTCATTATGAGCGGGACAGACCAGGAGCCTGAGGACCTGTCCATCAAGGTATGATGTCATTAGGGGTGGGACAGACCAGGAGTCTGCGGACCTGTCCGTCAAAGTATGATGTCATTATGGGCGGGACAGACCAGGAGTCTGTGGACCTGTTCGTCAAGGTATGATGTCATTTTGGGCGGGACAGACCAGGAGTCTGTGGACCTGTCCGTCAAGGTATGATGTAATTATGGGCAGACAGACCAAGAGTCTGTGGGCCTGTCAATCCAGGCATGATGTCATGGTGGGCGAGACAGACTGGAAATCCACTGACCTGTCAGTCAATCTATGATGTCATGGTGGGCAGGACAGATCAAGAGTCTGCTGACATGTGAGTCAACATATGATGTCATGGTGGGCAGGACAGACCAGGAGTGTTCTGACCTCTCAGTAAAGGTATGATGTCATGGTGGGTGGGATAGACCAGAAGTCTACTGATCTATCAGTCCATTTTTGATGTCATGGTGGGTGGGAAAGACCAGGTGTCTTTTGATTTGTCAGTCAGTGTATGATGTCATGGTGGGCAGGACAGACCAGGAGTATGCTGACCTGTCAGTCAATGTATGATGTCATGGTGGGTGGGAAAGACCAGGTGTTTTCTGATTTGTCAGTCAGTGTATGATGTCATGGTGGGCAGGACAGACCAGGAGTTTGCTGACCTGTCAGTCAATGTATGATGTCATGGTGGGACAGACCAGGATCTGTTAATTTAAAGGGACAGAGCATAACATAAGGGTCACAGATAACCAATTAGCACTGTATTATGCTTTCCTAATTCTGCATTTTAAATATCAGGGGCTATTTATTGGTATAGTAGCTGGGGTTTGTCATCCAAGGTGTGGACATAATACATTTCCTAAAAGTAGAAACAGACTTTTAGAATACGGATTACAAATTTCTGCCCAGAGTTCAGCTTTAAATCAGGTTATTTTTTTTTCTCTACACTCAGTTCAAACCTGCAATGGCAATGATCTGCAGAATCTCAGGATGCAGTTTATACCGCTAACACTCTTCAAAGGAAACTGAAATCCAGCCAAGAATAACTCCAATCACAATGTCATTAAACATCAAAAGACAATCCAGTCCTCCCTCCATTCCCTGGGACACATCCAGCACATCATACAGAATTCTCTGTATCCAGAGTTCAATCACCCGCCAAGGCCAGACATAATAAAGAATGATTATTTGTTAGTAAGGTCCTTGCCTCCTCCTATATTGGATTCATGATGCTCCCTTCCCTTCTAGGATCATGGGATCTCCGCATATCGGCTCTCCTCTACTTACATGCAGTCAGCGTGAGGAGAGGACTGCTGATAACCGACATTTCTTGTTTATGCTGTGATTGGACACAGCTGATCACATGGTAAAGGGCCGCTCTGATTGGCCCTTTACCGCGATCTGTGATTAGCTGTACACAGCAATCACAGATTGTGCCTGATGCGGCCCCAGGGGGCGCGGTTCTGGGAGGGCATCTATGGACAACCCTCCCAGAACTAGCCGACTGCGATGTAGCCATATTTTGGCTATAGCACAGTTGGCAATTTGTTAAAGTTGGTTGTAAAGGCTTTTTCTACATGAAGGTAAAAAACCTTCCGTGTGCAGCTGCCCCCGCCCCCCCATCCCCAATACTAACCTGAGCAGCAGCGGGAGCCATAGCTATCAATCACAGCCACTACGGAGGAAGTGGGGGGCATCTTTCTCTGGGGGCAGTGAACAAGGAGGGGTTGCCAGAAGCACCTTAAGGGGACCCCTGAACAGGAAGATCAGAGCTGCTCTGTGCCAAACCGTAGCACAGAGCAGGCAAGTATAACAGGTTTATTATTCTAAAGAAACAAAAATGGTATAGAGCGGGATGCAAATTGTGGAGGCAGGGGCGGACTGACCATTTGGAAACTCGGGCACTGCCCGAGGGCCCGGGGTCAGTAGGGGGCCCCATGAGATGCCCCTGGTACTTTTTTCATAGGCTTTTTTGAGTTTGGGCAAGGACACAGGGGCCCCATGATCCCCTATTGCCAACTGACCATTTGGAAACTAAGGCACTGCCCCAGGGCCCAGGGTCAGTAGGGGGCCCCATGAGATGCCCTGGTACTTTTTTCATAGGCTTTTTTGAGTTTGGGCAAGGACACAGGGGCCCCATGATTCCCTATTGCCCGGGGGCCCCATGAGTTGTCAGTCCGCCCCTGTGTGGAAGAGCTAACAATCTATTATAATAGATGGGAGGACACAGAAGGTAGACAAGCTTACAATTTATACAAAAGGCAGAAGAGCTAACAATCTATTACGGTATAAGGAAAGATACAGAAGGCAGAAGAGCTTACAATCTATTAGGGTATAAAAGGAAAGATACAAAAAGGCAGAAGAGCTAACAATCTATCATGGTATAAAAGGAAGATACAGAAAGTTGAAAAGCTTATGGTCTATTAGGGCAATCAGGGATGATGAGGAATGTTGAGGATCCTATAGTCTATTAGAGTATATGATGGTAGAGCTTACAGTCTATTGGGGTATATGGCATGGATAAAAAAGAAGGAAGAGCTTACAATCTATTGCGGTGTAAAGCAGATTGCAGAGTTGAAGAGCTTACAGTCTAATAGGGTATAGGAAAGGATACAGAAGGTTGAAGAGCTTACAGTCTAATAGGGTATAGGAAAGAATACAGAAGGTTGAAGAGCTTACAGTCTAATAGGGTATAGGAAAGGATACAGAAGGTTGAAGAGCTTACAGTCTAATAGGGTATAGGAAAGGATACAGAAGGTTGAAGAGCTTACAGCTTATTAGGGTATAGGAGAGCGGTACCAAAGCAGAAGAGCTTGCAATCTATTAGGATATGACGGGGGACACAGAGGGAGGAGGTTATGTCATGAGGTGGTAAAGCAGAACCCCGCGTACCGTTCTGAGGACTGCATGGTACAGGAAATGGGAATACATAGAGGAATGGTTTGGAGGAGAGGTAGAAGAAGAGAATGAGAGGACATGCGCCTCTTCCCCCAGGAGGTAGGCATTTGGGGAAAATGCTGCCTGCTCTATATTACCTCTTGGTCAGACATCAGTTGGTACCCAGAAGGTGGAATGTAGATACACTCAGGCACCAGAGTTGCTGTAGACACCAGGGACGCTGTATCCTCCTGCCCCTGTATCAGCCGCTCTCCAGGGTAGGATGAGATGGAGACACAGTCATAGCCCCGGGCAAACGTCTCCGCTGCCACCAGCATCTCCGGGTCATCCGAGCTGCTGTCCGGGGAGGAAGTGAGCGACTCCTGCCCAGCACATCCATCGTCGGGCTGAGACATCCAGACGGTGGTCCTTCCTGTACAGATAGGATACGGAGATCAGAATACATCTCTACCACAGAGACCGCCTGGGACAATGTTCGTGGGATAGGAGAGTGTCGCTTTGAGCCAAATCGATAAAGGAGATTCTCAAGTCTTTTGGGGTTTTTTTTACTATTGCTTCAGAGGAAGCGTCCATTAGCTATGCTGTTACTATTTAAAATAATAATGGTTAAAAAAAATCCAGCCAAACGTAACAAGATAGACAATGAATATAAAAGATAAAATAAAAAAACAGCTTTTGCTGCTATGGGCCCGCCCCCAGCCTGTGACTGGACAGTGAAAGGAGAAGCAGCACAGTGATGAGCTTATCTCTCTGCCACTCAGTTCTCTCCTCCTATCAGCATGCTACTCGTCAGCATGTGAACTGATCGGCTCTTTGTGTTGCTTCTTCCTCTCACACCCCCGCTCTGCTGTACTGGGACTGCCAAAGGCTAGTACTGGGTCACATTCAGGTACTGACACTGCATGCATTTAAAAATTAATGGAAAGTGTTACTAAACCCCGAACCCCGCATTCACTATATCTGGTCTCCCCGGACCCTGCATTCACTATATCCTGTACCCCGCATTCACTATATCCGCTCTCCCCGTACCCCGCATTCACTATATCTGGCCTCCACGGACCCTGCATTCACTATATCCGCTCTCCCCGCACTTACTATATCTGCTCTCCCCGGACCCCAAATTCACTATATCTGCTCTCCCAGGACCCCACATTCACTATATCTGCTCTCCCCGGACCCCACATTCACTATATCTGCTCTCCCCGGACCCCACATTCACTATATCCGGTCTCCCCGGACCCCGCATTCACTATATCCGGTCTCCCCCGGACCCCGCATTCACTATATCCGGTCTCCTCGGACCCGCATTCACTATATCCGCTCTCCCCGGACCCCGCATTCACTATATCCGCTCTCCCTGGACCCTGCATTCACTATATCCGCTCTCCCCGGACCCTGCATGCACTATATCCGGTCTCCCTGGACCCTGCATTCACTATATCCGGTCTCCCAGGACCCTGCATTCACTATATCCGGTCTCCCCGGACCCTGCATTCACTATATCCGGTCTCCCCAGACCCTGCATTCACTATATCCGGTCTCCCCGGACCCTGCATTCACTATATCCGGTCTCCCCGGACCCTGCATTCACTATATCCGGTCTCCCCGGACCCTGCATTCACTATATCCGGTCTCCCCGGACCCTGCATTCACTATATCCGGTCTCCCCGGACCCTGCATTCACTATATCCGGTCTCCCCGGACCCTGCATTCACTATATCCGGTCTCCCCGGACCCTGCATTCACTATATCCGGTCTCCCCGGACCCTGCATTCACTATATCTGCTCTCCCTGGACCCTGCATTCACTATATCTGGTCTCCCACAGTACACACAACATGGAAATGCAATTATTTTAGTAAATATAAACTGCTAAATATCTTTTCTCATCAGCAGTATATAGCAGTCTTGTGACTTCTATCAGTGTCCAGCCGAGCACTGGTTAAAGCTTGTAGGAGTTTTCTCTCTGCTCTAGTAGGATGCAGAACCCCTGATCTCTGTCTGGACAGTGCTGATTGGCCCTGTGCTGATCACATGCACTCTCCCAAGAAAAAAAAACTATCTAGCAATACACACCAAACTGAGCAGGTGCAGCTTGCCCCCAAGGCTCGGTTCTATAAGCAGATGGATTGGGGACAGTAGAAGAAGGGGAGGAGCAGAGAAGACAGGATCAAACAGTCTTTTTACACAATGCAGAGGATTAACCCCTTAGGTCCCACAGTGAGTATAAACAAGCATGCTTTACTGCATATACAGACTGATTGTACTGTTGTGGGTTCAGTAACACTTTAAAGTAGAACTAAAAGGTAAAACTTTTTTTTGTAGTCTTGGATAGAGTGGAGAGAAACAGGGAACCCCTGTCAGTTTTTACTGCTGCCCATGAACCGGATTCCGATCATGTGACCTCTGTGACAGTGGTCCCCTAAATGGATACCAGTGTGGGTGGGAAGGGGTTAAATAAGGCAGAACCCCCCTTTAGTACACCAACATATGGGGACACCACTGTGCACACATCCTTCAAGCATCGTCCGCTATCATCCCGATATCAGAGCTATAGGACCTGGAAGAAGCCCAGTGTTCTGGTTTTCCTGGCTGCATGCTTGTTCTGCTATTAGATACTATAAGACTTTCCCTATCCCTAGAAGTGTTTTTGGGTATTTCACTAGCTGCATGCTTATTATTAGAGGGATCTACCTATCTCTAGAAGTATCATCAGCTGCACCTTCTCCTCCACCTGTCTGCATGGAGGGTGTGCACAGCAATCACTGACACATCATGCTTTCTCTTTCATTTCTGTAGGTGAAGTGACACCTCTGATCCTGATCTGTACACACACAGCTCCGATCCACGTCTGTACGCGCGCGCACAGCTCCGATCCACGTCTGTACGCGCGCGCAGCGCACAGCTCCGATCCACGTCTGTACGCGCGCGCGCGCGCACAGCTCCGATCCACGTCTGTACACGCGCGCGCGCTCGCGCACAGCTCCGATCCACGTCTGTACGCGCGCGCGCGCACAGCTCCGATCCACGTCTGTACGCGCGCGCGCGCACAGCTCCGATCCACGTCTGTACGCGCGCGCACAGCTCCGATCCACGTCTGTACGCGCGCGCACAGCTCCGATCCACGTCTGTACGCGCGCGCGCACAGCTCCGATCCACGTCTGTACGCGCGCGCGCACAGCTCCGATCCACGTCTGTACGCGCGCGCGCACAGCTCCGATCCACGTCTGTACGCGCGCGCGCACAGCTCCGATCCACGTCTGTACGCGCGCGCGCACAGCTCCGATCCACGTCTGTACGCGCGCGCGCACAGCTCCGATCCACGTCTGTACGCGCGCGCGCGCACAGCTCCGATCCACGTCTGTACGCGCGCGCGCACAGCTCCGATCCACGTCTGTACGCGCGCGCGCACAGCTCCGATCCACGTCTGTACGCGCGCGCGCACAGCTCCGATCCACGTCTGTACGCGCGCGCGCACAGCTCCGATCCACGTCTGTACGCGCGCGCGCACAGCTCCGATCCACGTCTGTACGCGCGCGCGCACAGCTCCGATCCACGTCTGTACGCGCGCGCACAGCTCCGATCCACGTCTGTACGCGCGCACACAGCTCCGATCCACGTCTGTACGCGCGCACACAGCTCCGATCCACGTCTGTACGCGCGCACACAGCTCCGATCCACGTCTGTACGAGCGCACAGCTCCGATCCCCGACTGCACGAGCGCACAGCTCCGATCCCCGACTGCACGAGCGCACAGCTCCGATCCCCGACTGCACGAGCGCACAGCTCCGATCCCTTTCTGTACCCGCGCACAGCTCCGATACACGTCTGTACCCGCGTACAGCTCCGATCCACGTCTGTACGCGCACAGCTCCGATACACGTCTGTACGCGCACAGCTCCGATCCACGTCTGTACGAGCGCACAGCTCCGATCCCCGACTGCACGAGCGCACAGCTCCGATCCCCGACTGCACGAGCGCACAGCTCCGATCCTCGACTGCACGAGCGCACAGCTCCGATCCCCGACTGCAGGAGCGCACAGCTCCGATCCCCGACTGTACGAGCGCACAGCTCCGATACACGTCTGTACGCGCACAGCTCCGATACACGTCTGTACGCGCACAGCTCCGATACACGTCTGTACGCGCACAGCTCCGATACACGTCTGTACTGTACCGCGCACAGCTCCGATCCACGTCTGTACACGCACAACTCCGATCCACGTCTGTACACGCGCACAGCTCCGATCCACGTCTGTACACGCACAGCTCCGATCCACGTCTGTACGAGCGCACAGCTCCGATCCCCGACTGTACGAGCGCACAGCTCCGATCCGCGTCTGTACCCGCGCACAGCTCCGATCCACGTCTGTACACGCACAACTCCGATCCACGTCTGTACGAGCGCACAGCTCCGATCCCCGACTGTACGAGCGCACAGCTCCGATCCACGTCTGTACCCGCGCACAGCTCCGATCCACGTCTGTACCCGCGCACAGCTCCGATCCACGTCTGTACGCGCACAGCTCCGATCCGCGTCTGTACCCGCGCACAGCTCCGATCCACGTCTGTACGAGCGCACAGCTCCGATCCCCGTCTGTACACGCACAACTCCGATCCACGTCTGTACACGCGCACAACTCCGATCCACGTCTGTACACGCGCACAGCTCCGATCCACGTCTGTACACACACAGCTCCGATCAGAACTTCTACAACGTAACAGATGTAGTATTGGATACAAATGATACAATGTACCTATTCAGAGATCGGACTGTACCACTCACCCTCAGGAATGGGGGGGGATTCCGGCTCAGTATTGGGGATTCTCTCCTCCGTCCTCCGCCGACCCGCAACTTTCCTCCTGAGCAGCTCCCTGTCTGCATCCGCATGGGACACGTTTCCGTATCCGCTCGGCAATCTCCGGCTCCGCTCGGCTCCCTTTCCTCCCCCTTAGAGGCGCTGACTTCGGCTCTTTCCGCCGCCCGCTCGGCTGTTCGGCTCTTTCCGTCAGGGCGCTGAGATTTCGGTAATCTCCGCCAAAGACAGGCTGTCATTGTAGCCTCGGGTGACTCGTCCCCCGGCCTGGTGTGCCCGGTACAGGGAGATATTAATGGCTGTGATCTGTACGAGGTGACCCTGCCTAGCAGATCCAACGCCTCATATTATGGACCTTAGAAAACGCCAGTAACATTAGCTGTAGAAGGAGGAGCGTTAAAAACGCTACTTTTTTGCGTTTTTCAGCTTTTGCATTTATTTAGCATTTGTTTTGTAAATCTATACTCCCGCAAATGCTTTTAGCCCGGGTTCACACACTGATGCGGTGCGGCATTTGCAACAATTTCTGTGCGAATTCCGCGCCACATCAGAATCGCACCCCGTTCATGTGAACCGCTG